GAAGGCTATCCCCAGTGGAGGTCAGTAGGGAAAAATGCACAGAAAAAAATGGTAGGTCGTAAAATCACAGAACGTGGAGGTCAGTAGGAAGCTAGCCAAAAGATAGGTGGGCGTAGGAAACTAGCACGAAAAGTAGGTGGGGCCTGGGCTAGACGAAAAAGATAGGGAGGGCTAGGGAACTGCACGAAAAGTAGGAAGGGGGCAGTGGGCGCCAGCGATGGGGGTCGGGGTGCCGAAAAGTAGGTGGTCCGTAGGGTGCACCCCAACAATAGGGGGTCAGTGGGCTAAAAAAGGAGGGTGGGGCATAGCAGTGCACAGAACAGATAGGTAGGTCAGTAGGAGATAGCACAGAACGATAGGTAGGTCAGTAGGAAGCTAAAAACCGACAGATAGGTAGGTCGTAGGAGCTTCACAGAACAGATAGGTTTGGTCAGTAGGAACTAGACGAAAAGATAGGTAGGTCAGAGGAGCTAGCACAGAAACAGATAGGTGGGTCAGTAGGAAACTAGCCACAGAACAGATAGGTAGGTCAGTGGAAGCTATCACCCGAACAGATAGGTAGGTCCAGTAGGAGCTATCACCGAACAGATGGTGGGTCAGTAGGAAACTAGCACCCGAAACCCGATAGGGGGGTCAGTAGGAAGCTGCACCGAACAGATAGGTAGGCGTAGGAAGCTAGCACGACAGAAGGTAGGTCATAGGAAGCTAGCCAGAACAGTGGTAGGTCATTTTGGAGCTAGCACAGAACAGATGGTAGGTCAGTAGGAAGCTAGCACGAAAAAGATAGGTAGGTCAGTAGGAAGCTAGCCAGAACAGATAGGTAGGTCGTAGAAGCTAGCACAGAACAGATAGGTGGGCAGTAGGAAGCTATCCAGAACAGATAGGTAGGTCAGTAGGAGCTAGACAGAACCGATTTGGTGGTCTGGAAGATAGCCAGAACGATGGTAGGTCAGTAGGAGCTAGCACGAACAGTAGGTAGGTCAGTGGAAGCTAGCACGCCCCATAGGTGGGTCAGTAGGAAGCTAGCACCGAACAGATAGGGAGGGGCATAGGGAAGCTAGCACAGAACAGATAGGTGGTCAGTAGGAAGCTAGCACAGAACAGATAGGTGGGTCCCCCAGGAAGCTAGCACGAACAGATAGGTAGGTCAGTAGGAGCTAGCACAGAACAGTAGGTAGGTCGTAGGAAGCTAAAACAGAGAGATAGGTGGGTCGTAGGAAGCTAGCACAGAACGATAGGTAGGTCAGTAGGAAGCTAGCACAGAAACAGATAGGTAGGTCAGTAGGAAGATAGCACAGACAGATAGGGAGGTCGTAGGAGCTATCACAGAACAGATAGGTAGGTCAGTAGGAAGTAGACAGAACAGATAGGTGGGTCAGTAGGAAGCTAGCACGAACAGATAGGTAGGTCAGAGGAAGCTTGCACAGAACGATGGTAGGTCCCGTAGGAAGCTACACAGAACAGATGGTAGGTCAGTAGGAAGCTAGCACGAACAGATGGAGGTCAGTAGGGAAGCTAGCACAGAACAGATAGGTGGGTCAGTAGGAAGCTATCACAGAACAGATAGGTAGGTCAGTAGGAAGCTAGCACAGAACAGATAGGTAGGTCAGTAGGAAGCTAGCACAGAACAGATAGGTAGGTCAGTAGGAAGCTAGCACAGAACAGATAGGTAGGTCAGTAGGAAGCTAAAACAGAAGAGATAGGTGGGTCAGTAGGAAGCTATCACAGAACAGATAGGTAGGTCAGTAGGAAGCTAGCACAGAACAGTTAGGTAGGTCAGTAGGAAGCTAAAACAGAACAGATAGGTAGGTCAGTAGGAAGCTAGCACAGAACAGATAGGTAGGTCAGTAGGAAGCTAAAACAGAACAGATAGGCGGGTCAGTAGGAAGCTAAAACAGAACAGATAGGTAGGTCAGTAACATACTCATGGCTCTCTCCAGATAAACTGTTCCCGTCCATACATCCAGCTAGGTTCTCTGTACATCGCACGGACAGGAAGAAAGAACCCCCCCGGGAAGAAGAACGGTGGAGTCTTTCATGATTTACTACTCATGGTGTGATTGTCATAATGTACAGGAACTCAAGTCCTTTAGTTTACCCAACCTGGAATACCTCACAATAAAGCCTGTTTGATCATATCAAGTCTTGTAATACTTTTGCCATTCTATTACTTATAAGCTTTGTTATTATTTTATTGTTGTCACAGTTTATTGAACTTATGATTCTATAATCAATAGGGGACTTTCCAGATTTTCCAGGTTTTAATATAACTGAAATAACTATTTGATACATGGAACTGGGAAGTACTGAATTAAGTGACGTGTGTGTTGTCATTTGTGTAAATAGTACATTGTCCCCAAATATTGAATATAATTATATGGGAAAGCCATCCATTCCTGGTGCTTTTCTCCACGCAAACGTTTTTAATATTTATTATTTGGGTGATCTCTGTTTTTAGTGATTCTTTTTTGTCTGCTGATAGCTGCTTCAGGGTTGTTGAGTCTAAGAAGGCTGTGGGATCAGGCCAACTGTTGTTTAATTATTGCCTAGTTAAATAAAGGTGAAATAAAATAAAAATAAAATTTTAAAATCAGATTTATATACATTTTCATAGAAGCTTTTAATATTGTCATTAATGACTTTGTTATTTCTAATGACCACATTTATATCTTTATCTTTAAAATTATAACTGCTTTAGCAAGTATTCATTTTGTGAGGGTTGCGAGATATTTACCAGGTTTATTTTTCATTAAGTAATATGCTTTATTTGAGTTTAACCTGTAATTGGTGGCTCTCTTCAAATGTAAAAGTTCGTATTCCTGCTTAAGTTCAGACAGTTCATTTTCTTCTTGATCTTTATGGGCATTTTCTAAGATAGTCATTTATTTTTATTAAATTTTTATTTGTAAATCAGATTTAGCTTTTGCCGAGTATGAGATGCCCCTAATGTACGCCTTAAAGTCATCCCATATTATATCTGGTGTCACGGATTCTGCCGAGGCTGCTCCTCCTCCTTGCTCGGGCAGGCTTCGGCATTCGTCGTCCCCGGAGTACTAGCTACTGCCGTTCGATGTTATCTGTGTTTGTTTAGTTTTGTCTGTATTGTTTACACCTGTTCGTCATTATGTTAATTGTTGCCCTTATAATTACCCCTGTCTACCATTAGTACTTTGTGTGTGATTGTTTTCCCCTTCACGGTTGTCTATTTTGTGAGCGGGTTATTTCCTCCCTGCGTGGAGTTATTTCTGTGTCCTTTTGGATCCTTTTCGTATTAAAGTACGTATCCGAGAGTTCTGTGTCCTGCGCCTGACTTCGTTTACCGCATCTCACAGACAGTCGTGACAGAATCACACACCTTACCATGGAGTCAGCAGGAGTGACGGCACCGACTGGATCACTCGAGGAGCGCGTCCTACAACAGGCAGCGATGCTCCAAAAGGTTTGCCCACACCTCCTCCAACGATACCACCACCATCGGCTACTGGGGAGGGTCTCCTCGGATTCGAGGCAGCAGGCAGCGTACTGATGAGTCATTCACGGTGAGTAAGGTCCCAACTCACCCAGAGCTCTCTGCTGTTCATATGTGTATCCAAGTGATGTTTCCAGAAGTTTCTTCTTACTCCCAGCATAAGGCGCTAGTCGATTCAGGCGCAGCTGGGAATTTTATAGATCGCCATTTCTCATATAAGTTA